TTCTACATCACTACAGTACATTCCACATACACACTCTTTTACATCAACTACAGTACATTCCACATACACACTTTCTACATCACTACAGTACATTCCACATACACACTCTTTCTACATCACTACAGTACATTCCACATACACTCTTTCTACAGCAGTACATTCCACATACACACTCTTTCTACAGCAGTACATTCCAAATACACACTCTTTCTACATCACTACAGTACATTCCACATACACACTCTTTCTACATCACTACAGTACATTCCACATACACACTCTTTCTACATCACTACAGTACATTCCACATACACTCTTTCTACTACAGCAGTACATTCCACATACACTCTTTCTACAGCAGTACATTCCACATACACACTTTCTACTACAGCAGTACATTCCACATACACTCTTTCTACATCACTACAGTACATTACACATACACACTCTTTCTACTGCAGTACATTCCACATACACACTCTTTCTATAGCAGTACACTCCACATACACACTCTTTCTACATCACTACAGTACATTCCACATACACTCTTTCTACATCATTACAGTACATTCCACATACACACTCTTTCTACATCACTACAGTACATTCCACATACACACTCTTTCTACTACAGCAGTACATTCCACATACACACTCTTTCTACAGCAGTACATTCCACATACACACTCTTTCTACATCACTACAGTACATTCCACATACACACTCTTTCTACTGCAGTACATTCCACATACACACTCTTTCTACAGCAGTACATTCCACATACACACTCTTTCTACATCACTACAGTACATTCCACATACACACTCTTTCTACATCACTACAGTACATTCCACATACACACTCTTTCTACATCACTACAGTACATGCCACATACACACTCTTTCTACTACTGCTGAAAAAAAGACATAATTTTCAAATCATTTTTTTTATTGACTAAATTAAATTAAACACATTTAAATAAATACTCTTTAATTACAGATTCATAATAATTAACAATAAACTTGACATTTCAAACTGCAGGAATTAACTTGGTCACATGATACAAAAATTTAAAATATCCATTTTTACACAGTAAATGAAAGCACATATTTAATGTAAACAAAAAAATTAGTTTAGATGTTTATGTTTTGCATTGATGTTTTTGTTTAATTCAGTGTAAAGCAAAGAGGCACATTAAACCATGAGGGCCCCTTTCATTAACATTTTTCGGTAGTTTGATAAATGAACATCTCTGTAAGTAGCATTGTATCAAGATTCATCAAATCTACTCAACACATTTGTTTTTAATACACCTCCCAGTAGAACTGGCTAATGTCAAACTGATTTGAAATGCACACAGCATACTGTGATGAAGATGTGAAGTCGGCGCCCTCAGATGGTCACACAAATACATACACTAAAGTTCATTCTGCTCAATTTGGGTGTTATTTCTATATAATGGTTCCAATGGAATGTAAAATACTAATCCAAACTTATCACAAATCTGGAATGCAAGATGTGTAATTACTGTTTATGATACCGTCTTTACCCTAATACATACACAACTTTTTAATGCCAGATATTACATCATTTACAATTCAGCAAATACATTATATGTCCCTCATATTGAATGCACCCCTGGTTTACATGTGTAGAGGCCTAACCTGACTGCACAAGGGTAGGATGAATGGATCGCACCACTATACTTATAGGGAATGTAAGTAGAACATTGCACAAAGTCAAAAGCAGAAACAGATAAGATTGAAAGTAAACATCATAATGGTATTTATAATAACAATAAAAGAGAGTCTGATAGAATTGGTCACAAACCACAATTGTTATTGCACTATTATCATGATTGACACCTCATACACGAGTCTAAAAACACTGTAAATAAACTATTCAGTAGTAAAACTACCAAGCTACATCCAACAACACTTAATATATACACCCCTGCGCATTACATAAATCCTTCAACAATAATATCGGTCATCTATTCTATGTTGAAAACATTTTGTCCCGACCACTTTTCATAATCAAGTTAATTTTGAAAATTAACAGCTATGGCTCATACAATATATTTTCTTAAATCAATCAAAAATCATTTTGTTACAGGGCAGTAGCTATCATTAAAATGGTGCATACCTATATATTGATGTCATTCTACCAGCACACATACTATGAAAAGCAACAACAGCTTTTAGTAAACAATATAACACATTAATATAAGATATTAAATTATAGAGAAACATTTACAAAATATAAAATGATGCATAACTTCCTGACGAAGAATGAAATACTAGTAAATACTAAAGGTTGCATACATTTCAAAATCTAGTACTCAAAAACCTGGAGGCTTGCATGGTTTTCATAACAGTTTCATGAAATTCAATCTTTAGAAGATGGCACAAACAAGTTTCACATGCTGTGAGAAAACATACATATTGTCGTAAAGTCTCTGTGACAATTTTCTTCTAAACTTAAAAATGATGGTCAATATATTACATAGTGGCTGGCAAGCCTTGCTACGTAATACCAGAAAGACTACACATACAGTGTGGTCAGAGTGCAACTTAACATTAAGCTACCATTAAGCTGGTGTAAAACTGGATTAGCCTGCTTTCAAAACTGCCACACAAAATTGTATTATTAAAACACGTCTTGCACTGTATTAGTAACATTGGTAAATACTACGAGACTATGTTGAGATTATTGACAACACTAATATTCATTTTGCAAAAGTTTTTACGAAAAAGCAAAACCAGTTAAATGCAAGCTTGAAAGTTAGGTTACACTCAAACTGTACATACATTGTAGCAGACAAGACATTCTACGTAACATTTTTAACCATCAAATTGTCACTACTAGAAACATTTACTATTTTATCACTTGAGAAATTTGCAAGAACACCATTAACATCACTGTTTCATGGTGAAATCTTTCCTGCTGCAATATTTTGCAATTTAACTGTCTGTTGCAAAATAGATTTGTTTTACAATAACTGTATTATCATCAAGCTGCAAGTATTCATCATTTAACCATGTAAATTTCCATTTTAAAACCGTGAAAGTTTCTATTGTTAAACCATGAAAGTTTCCATTGTTAAACCATGTAATTTCCCATTGTTAAACCATGCAATTTCCTGTTGTTAAACCATGCAATTTTCCATTGTTAAACCATGTATGTTTCCATTGTTAAACCAAGTAAGTTTCCATTGTTAAACCATGTCAGTTTCCATTGTTAAACCAAGTAAGTTTCAATTGTTAAACCATGTAAGTTTTCATTGTTAAACCACACAAGTTTCCATTGTTAAACCATGTCAGTTTTCATTGTTAAACCAAGTAAGTTTCCATTGTTAAACCATGTAGGATTCCAATTATAAACCATGTAAGTTTCCATTGTTAAAACATGTCAGTTCCCATTGTTAAACCATGTAAGTTTCCATTATTAAACCATGTAAGTTTCTATTGTTAACCTATGTAATTGACCAGTGTTAAACCATGTAAGTTTCCATTGTTAAACCATGTAAGTTTCCATTGTCAAACCATGTAAGTTTCCATTGTCAAACCATGAAAGTTTCCATTGTTAAACCATGCAAGTTTTCATTGTTAAACTATGCAACTTTCCATTGTTAAACTTTCCATTGTTAAACCATGTCAGTTTCCATTGGTAAACCAAGTAAGTTTCCATTGTTAAACCATGTAGGATTCCAATTATAAACCATGTAAGTTTCCATTGTTAAAACATGTCAGTTCCCATTGTTAAACCATGTAAGTTTCCATTATTAAACCATGTAAGTTTCTATTGTTAACCTATGTAATTGACCAGTGTTAAACCATGTAAGTTTCCATTGTTAAACCAAGTAAGTTTCCATTGTCAAACCATGTAAGTTTCCATTGTCAAACCATGAAAGTTTCCATTGTTAAACCATGCAAGTTTTCATTGTTAAACTATGCAACTTTCCATTGTTAAACTTTCCATTGTTAAACCATGTAAGTTTCCATTGGTAAACCATGAAAGTTTCCATTGTTAAACTATGTAACTTTCCATTGTTAAACTATGTAACTTTCCATTGTTAAACTATGTAACTTTCCATTGTTAAACCACGCAAGTTTCCATTGTTAAACTATGTAACTTTCCATTGTTAAACTATGTAACTTTCCATTGTTAAACCATGTAAGTTTCCATTGTTAAACCAAGTAAGTTTCCATTGTTAAACCATGTCAGTTTCCATTGTTAAACCAAGTAAGTTTCTATTGTTAAACCATGTAAGTTTCCATTGTTAAACCAAGTAAGTTTCCATTGTTAAACCATGTCAGTTTCCATTGTTAAACCAAGTAAGTTTCAATTGTTAAACCATGTAAGTTTTCATTGTTAAACCACACAAGTTTCCATTGTTAAACCATGTCAGTTTTCATTGTTAAACCAAGTAAGTTTCCATTGTTAAACCATGTAGGATTCCAATTATAAACCATGTAAGTTTCCATTGTTAAACCATGTAAGTTTTCATTGTTAAACCACACAAGTTTCCATTGTTAAACCATGTCAGTTTTCATTGTTAAACCAAGTAAGTTTCCATTGTTAAACCATGTAGGATTCCAATCATAAACCATGTAAGTTTCCATTGTTAAAACATGTCAGTTCCCATTGTTAAACCATGTAAGTTTCCATTATTAAACCATGTAAGTTTCTATTGTTAAACTATGTAATTGACCAGTGTTAAACCATGTAAGTTTCCATTGTTAAACCATGTAAGTTTCCATTGTTAAACCAAGTAAGTTTCCATTGTTAAACCATGTAGGATTCCAATTATAAACCATGTAAGTTTCCATTGTTAAACCATGTCAGTTTCCATTGTTAAACCGTGTCAGTTCCCATTGTTAAACCATGTCAGTTCCCATTGTTAAACCATGTCAGTTCCCATTGTTAAACCATGTAAGTTTCCATTATAAAACCATGTAAGTTTCCATTGTTAAACCATGTAAGTTTCCATTGTTAAACTATGTAAGTTTCCATTGTTAAACCAAGTAAGTTTCCATTGTTAAACTATGTAAGTTTCCATTGTTAAACCATGCAAGTTTTCAGGTAATGACAGAAATTACTGCAAAAGAGTACACCTCTAAAAGTCTATTAGTTCCTTACTTATTTGCTCCAATAAGACAAATGAAAAAAAAGTTTTTCAAATCAAGTTTTTGATTTAAGTCACTTTAAATGTTGGTCCAGTTTTATTTGCGTGGTTTATTATTTTTCTGATTTAGAACCAAAATGCAGATGTAATGCATTTTTAGAACTGGATTATACTTTATGGATAGAAATTGCAAAGATATAAATCCAGAGAGTGGAGATAAAACAAAACAAAATAACTCTGTCTTCCTCACACACAACAGGCAAAGACAAGTATATGTTGAGTAATACATGTATTAAAATGAAGGACCTTTTCCTATCTAACGTTTATACCAAATGTCAAAACACCATTCATATACATGTAATTTTCAATGAAAATCAAATCCCGACTTAGTTAAGCACAGACATATTGCTGCTTTTATAGCAGCTAGTTGTAAATTCTATTAATATTAGGTTGTATTACGATGAAATCTTGTACTCTGGGTCAATATCACCAATTGACTGGCCCAGTCCACAAGACAATAACATCCCATAATAATATCTGCTTGGAAACAGTACAAGTACCGGGGTATATAGACAAGCGCCCTCAAAGGTGTGAAACAGTGATGGATTAACGACACAGTGGACATTAAACAGAGAAACAGACAAAAAGACATGGGTATCTATTTGCTATGGATCATAGTTGCTAAGCTTAGTACATCAAACCTCAAAGAGAGTACCTTCATTTGTTTTGTCTTTTGTTTTCCTCATACACTTCCCTCAATCCTATGCTCTATTTCCATAAACTGCTGAGCTTGTCGGAGATTGGCGTAAAGTACCCTAATACCTTGTCCATAATACCCTCTGGAGCATGAAAAATAGAGGAAAGAAAAAAAATTCACCTTCAGTTTTTTGGTTGTTGAATTATTTTTAGTGCAGTTGGCATAGCAACAGTGCAGTTGTCATAGCAACAGTGCAGTTGGCATGGCAATTAATGCAGTTTGCATGTGGCAAAAAATCTCCCCAAAGCTGCAAAACCAGCAATCCCCCTCCCCCATATAATGCAAAAAATAAATAATGTTGACGCATGCAGAAATTATTCAAATGCAAAGTCAGTTAAGTTGAAAACACAGCAAAGATAGCAAGGCAGTCAAGAAAAAATATAATCCAGAAACTATTTCTAAACTAGTCTAAATGACATCAAAACACTTTACACAAATATACAGACAATCACAGCAGGTTATGGTAAGTTTCTTGTGTTAACTAGTGATCAACTAATCACTGCAGGTTATGATTGGTTACTTGGCAATGTGTAGTAATTAACTACTATCAACTAATCACAGCAGGTTCTGGCAGGATACTTATGTTAACTAGTGATTAACAACTGTCACCTAATCACAGCTATTTATGAAAGTTTTTTTTTGTTTTAACTAGTGATCACCTAAATACAGGTTATAGTAGGTTACTTGTGTTAAATAGTGATCAACTACTATCACCTATACAAATTGAACTCCTACAACTACCTTGGCAAATAAAAGGAAACAAAAACAAAATACATGTAATTTTTATGGGATGCATCAATTACTGGTGTGATAAAATTTTGTATTTGTATATTAAAAACATAAAATATTACTTTAGACAACAGACTTTAAGATTCAAAAAAACATTTCATTGACATATTTACAATGATACTAGGTAATGTTCTGATGTTTCAACTAAAAATCAATTCTTAACTTTTAAATAATAAAAAAAAATGTATTATTGAATGCAAGTTTCCATTGTTAAAACATGTCAGTTCCCATTGTTAAACCATGTAAGTTTCTATTGTTAAACTATGTAATTGACCAGTGTTAAACCATGTAAGTTTCCATTGAAGTATTATTTCAGTCTGGTTTTTGCAATTTACTTGACGACAATGTTGTAAAAGGCTTTAATTATTTGCGAGGTTTTAGTTTTGCTGATAATTAAATGCACTCAATTAAAACCCAGTGCATATTCAAATTTAACAATAGAATGTATTGTTTCCTCCACAAACCACAGAGTTTAAAAACCTGAAATCCGCTTCAATTGGACCCAGTGAGTATTTCCCCTTTACAATATACTATTGAGTGATAAAGTGACAATGAATGAAGGTACAAGATTAGTAATTTTAATGAATCTAAACTCAATAATAGTGTAGCCCTGTGATTTTCATTTTCTAGATTTACAAATTAATTTTGATGGTTGTTTCCGTACTGTCAAATATCCCAGTTGCAGGTTTCTTGATTATTTCTGACTTACATGGGCATTAAATCAAGCAAATGAATTTCAAATGGTTGTCTCATATACTAATAGATTATAGAGTTTCCTTTGTAAATTGCTCACAGCCAGACACCTGTATCAACTACATAGATTTTAATCTACTCATAATCAATTTGTGCGAGATTTCAGAAAATACAGCGGAAAACAAAAAACCTGAAAATGATTCAGTGGCAACAATAAATTCAGTAAATTGTTTACATTTTGTAATCCATGTAACACTTAGCCCAAACTAGTTTTTACTAACCGCATGGCAATATGTCACAACATATATTTATGAAAATAGCTGGAGATAAATTTTTCAGCTGTTTGCATATGTGTAGCAAAAACACCCTTACATTTTACCGCATGTGTGTTTGTTTGTACTACAATGGCAGTTTAATTTTATTGTACTGTGAAATACTTTATTCTTGCTTGGAATTTATTTTTGCTATTTCCGCTGAAGGGATGATTCTGTGAGATAAAATCTAGCAAATATAACTATTTTTCCTGTACTGCACATTCAACTCACCAAAAATCAGTGAAATTAACAAAACACCCAAAAAACCTTTTCAGCAAAAATTATTTCCAGCTAAAATAAAGAATTGGCAGTAATACATGGTTACAAAATATTAATAAAATTCTTAAAAACTCAGGTTCAACTCTGTTGTCGCCATTGTCATGCTATGTTACTCTTCTAATCCTTTACAAATTTATAACAATCGAACATCATGCTTTTAAATTCAGTGCGATTCAAAATTATTATCGACACCAAAATGATTCAAACATTTGGCAGTATTATTTTAATATTAATTTAAAGTATTAATTTTACTGACATAAAAAGTACAATGATGACATCAATAAACATATAGAAAACGTTAAATGGCATCTTGATTGGATTTTTTTTAGTTCATATACCAATTCTATATCTACTATAAATCCACACAGTTTAACATCACCAGACAAACCTGGGAATTGTCTCAAACTAATTTAACCTTTGACCTAGTAAGTGTCATGAATAATTTATATAGATGTGCCATCTATCACTGTTCTATCACAATGATCCATTCATTTCACAGTACTGTAAATACGCAGTTGTACTACAAATATGTAAATTTAAATTGATGTTGCAAAGTAACTTTTTGAGTCATATTTTTTCCCCAAAAAATTCAGTGCGAATATTTTCACATCTTGTAAAATTTTCACTAAATTTTATTATAATTTTGGATTATACAGACAGTTACAGATATTGTGTTTGGTTTTTGGGCAAAAGGTTTGTCATTTATTTATCAACATTCTATGTTGGAAGAAGCAGACTACAAAGTCATTTTGTAGACAATGCCAAAAAGTTGACAATGGTTTTCAAGTGTTAAACATTTAAAATTTTTGCCTGTAATTTTGCTACAAATGGATTTGTGAAGACTACATTTATTGCTACATAATAAGATATTTCAATTAGTTTGTTTGCACTTTTATGGTTTTCACTTTTGTTTTTGATATTATATAGTTTACCGTCTAACAGATTTAGAATTAGACATTTACTGATCACTGATTATAGTTCAAAATGAAATTATTGACTGACAAAAAAAAACCATAAACACACATTAAAAATAAAAAATAAATGATAAGACATTATTCATGAATGACAGATGTCTGACGATGGCTCACGTTAAGGTGGCAGTAACAAGCAATGCCACAGGCTAAACAGAGATTATAGCATAGCTATATGTTATAGTTGATGGCGGCCATCTTGGAATACACTCTATACATGTAATAGCATTCATGATTAAGAATAAAACATTGAATGTTTTTAAGCCTTTTACTTTTGTTAATATCCGCAAAAAAGTCCTGACAATCAAATCCATTTAATCAAAAAAGCAATGTATCATTTATTTGACTCACAATTTATAACAAAATTTACAGAAAATTTGTGAATACTTTCTGCGGATGTTGCAGGATTGCATGTATCTAAATTGAAATTTTTTACAGAATGAAATCAGAAAATTTGTTAGTTTTAGATAATACTACTTTAACGCTAACAGTTTTATTTACATAATGTCAGACATTTCCACTGTATTCACAGACATTCCTGCTGTACATGTATTCTCAGATATGCCCGCTGTATTCACCGATTCTATTGAGTAACCACAGATACAATCATGAAATTACATGACAATACACCACTATGAAAAGCTTTTATAATCTCCTTAATTTATCGACAGTAGTTGCATCACTGTGTGAGGTCCCACTTTATTTAACTACATATATTTGCTGTATTTTCCCCTATACTGCCTCAATTTAAATTTCCTTGCATAATGCAAAACGATTAATAATTCAATTGGATTGGGGCTAATTGGAAACCTAACAAAACAATATGGCAATCAACTAGGTACTAGTGTGTTAACCAGACTCGCATAATTTAATATATTATAGAGTGACCAACAATATTAATTTATCTGACACGGTATAGGAATCATGCAACATAATCTGAGTAAAGAAGCGCTCATAGTGCATTTGATGGATATGACAAGTTGAATCTTTCCTCCATGCAAGTGGCCCACAGGGGATACGTGTGAATACGATTGTAAAATCCCTAATAACTCAAGCCACATTTCAGGTGCTTATTTGCTGACTTCTTCATGTTAATTTGACATGGTTGAATGGTTTGTAAAATATGGAGATACTTTACATAGCATTCTATCTATTTTTATCTGCAAACACGATAGTTTTCACCTTTATATTTCTTTTTAATATTCAACATTTCTGGGTTTTCTAGAGGGATGAAAACTAGCAACTGCTCAAAATACCTAACATGTTTGAAGTAGAAAATATCTAAAAATGTATACATATCCTGGGATAATTATTTCTCTTCAAAGTTAAATGCTTTTTTTCTACATAATGATGCAATATTGAACAGATAATGGTAAGATTTTCCTAGTATGTTTCGTGACTACATTTCAGAAGGAAAAACATAAAAAAATACAGTCATAAAAATAACCTAACAGAGGCCTCTGAAATGAAAAATGAGTAAAAATAAGCAATGTTGATCTCCAATCTAGTGTGTTTGGGATTTATTAGCTTAATTAAATTTATGGAAAAAGAAACTAATTTACGTCAATCACTGTTAGGTCAATGCACTCTGAAGGTGTGAATTGCAGGGTAAATTCAGTTGTTGGTATGACGATATTCCAAACACAATGTCATTTCTGGTAGCCCTGATCTCCATGCATTAAATTGCTGCGTTTTAAAATGACTAGTTGTACAGTGGCTACAATTTTTTGTAAAAATGTACAATAATATGACTCAGTCTCGCTGTCAACTCTTAAATAAATAGTACTTGCTACATGAACATACAGCTTTCAAGAATCAAATTACAAATGAAACAAAACTAGATGCAGAAAAACGTTAGTAATGAAAATATAAGAATTGATTTTAAATTGTAGTAAGTTAAAATTTCTGATATTTATTCAAGATAAAAAGATATTTCGATAAAAATGTTCAATCAATTGACAATCTAAACAGTGAATGAAAATAAAAAAAAAATGGTAACAGCTGGTCCTCTCAACAGATATGTGTAACGAGGGTAACTACAGGACAATCCATTCATAATTAATATTACAGTGACTAACAACAATCAGTCATATTATTTTAGAATTCACATTTTAAATATAACAAGACCATAGGCTGATCTTAGTTTTTATATGAATTTGAAGAATAATTTTCTAATGAGGTTTTGAAGGTAAAGTAATGTTGTGGGTTCTGCCAATATAAATAAGCTGAACCAGTTGGTTGTAATTGTGATGTTAGTGTACAGTGTTAAGTATGGGCAAGCTCACATAGGGAATTCATCCAATTACAACCATAGGTTCTGGCACCTGTTCTATTAAAAAATAAAACACATAGATGCTACAGAAACAACGAACACAAAAACATAGAGTTCCTGACACAAAGCATATATATACACAGGGATACACAGTATCATTAATATATTCAAATTCTCTCTTGATATAATTCATTTCTATTTTTTTTTTACATTTTTAAAGACACCAAAAAGAGCATAATGAATAAATTAGCCATTCTAACTAGGAGTGTTTTTATCTTGAGGAACCATATAGGATATCATTGGACAACATACTATAAATAAATAAATTATTATAAAATAAATAATAAAATGACCTGACAAGTTTTAAGTATGAAAATATTGGCAATAAAAAAACAACAGTCAAATGATATGAATGGCCTTGGCACGTACCAAATAAAAATGTTTTGTTTGTATTTACAAAATAATGTGGCATTTCAGTTAAAAGCAACAATACATGTTCAAGAAAGAAGATTTTTAGTATTAAGTAGGTTCGCACTAAAATATTTTAGGATATTCAAAATATAAATTATTTTCTTGCATAATGTGGCTGTTGTGTACCTCCCTAATCTTACAATAAATACTGCTACCTCACAGACATCAGGATCCAAACTATCAACTTAAATGCTGCACCAATTAAGTATCTCTAAGAGATCCTCATTTGGTTCATGTTTAAACCTAGTTTGCACATGCTACGGCATAATATGTTGAGAAATCAGATATCAAAATGAGCAAAACTATGCACAGTAGGAGCAATCTAGAAGTTGGTGGGAACCTACTTAATACCATTCACATCGAATTTTGTTAGCAGACAAGTCTTTAAGACACTCAGAGTAATACAAGCACCTTTAAACAATTGTCACTAATGTTAGTCACATGACAACAACATCACCATGGTAACATCACTCAGATAAAAGTAAAACAACAACAGATACCACCTTCTTCGTCAGAATCAGCCTGTGCTTGTGCTTGCTGTTGCTGCTGCATTTCTAGCGGAGTCTTCTTCTTCCTTCCAATCCTTCCAGCATCTGGATCAACTTCCTCCACTACCTTTTTCTTTATACCATACTAAAAACAGAAAAAAAACAAATAAAGATTTCCAATCTCTATAGGCAGTTCTACTTGTTTTCGTTTTGTGTGCGTGTCCAGTGAATGGAAGGCAAGAACTTGTTCACGCCAAAAGATTAAATAAAGGCGATGTTTGCAGCTTCTGTTATTAAATATTCAAGTTTGTGTTCATTTTAATGAAACAACTTATGGACAATGCTATTATCACATATTCGCATGCTGGCTGGCCAAAATTTATGAATGACTTAAAGGGACAGCAGCTACAATGCTAGAATGACTTAAAGGGAGTAGCTGCAATCCTAGAATGACTTAAAGAGACAGTAGCTACAATGCTAGAATGACTTAAAGAGACAGTAGCTACAATCCTAGAAGGGACAGTAGCTGCAATCCTAGAATGACTTAAATGAACAGTAGCTACAATCCTAGAATGACTTAAAGGGACAGTAGCTGCAATTCAAGAATGACTTAAAGGGACAGTAGCTATGGTCCTATAATGACTTAAAGGGACAGTAGCTACAATCCTAGAAAGGACAGTAGCTACAATCCTAGAATGACTTAAAGAGACAGTAGCTACAATCCTAGAAGGGACAGTAGCTGCAATCCTAGAATGACTTAAATGAACAGTAGCTACAATCCTAGAAGGGACAGTAGCTACAATGCTAGAATGACTTAAAGAGACAGTAGCTACAATCCTAGAAGGGACAGTAGCTACAATCCTAGAAGGGACAATAGCTACAATGCTAGAATGACTTAAAGAGACAGTAGCTACAATCCTAGAATGACTTAAAGAGAGACAGTAGCTACAATCCTAGAAGGGACAGTAGCTACAATTCAAGAAGGGACAATAGCTACAATGCTAGAATAACTTAAAGAGACAGTAGCTACAATCCTAGAAGGGACAGTAGCTACAATCCTAGAATGACTTAAATGAACAGTAGCTACAATCCTAGAATGACTTAAAGGGACAATAGCTACAATGCTAGAATGACTTAAAGAGACAGTAGCTACAATCCTAGAAGGGACAGTAGCTGCAATCCTAGAATGACTTAAAGAGACAGTAGCTATGGTCCTATAATGAATTAAAGGGACAGTAGCTGCAATTATCCTAGAATGACTTAAAGAGACAGTAGCTACAATCCTAGAAGGGACAGTAGCTGCAATCCTAGAATGACTTAAATGAACAGTAGCTACAATCCTAGAAGGGACAGTAGCTACAATGCTAGAATGACTTAAAGAGACAGTAGCTACAATCCTAGAAGGGACAGTAGCTACAATCCTAGAAGGGACAATAGCTACAATGCTAGAATGACTTAAAGAGACAGTAGCTACAATCCTAGAATGACTTAAAGAGAGACAGTAGCTACAATCCTAGAAGGGACAGTAGCTACAATCCAAGAAGGGACAATAGCTACAATGCTAGAATAACTTAAAGAGACAGTAGCTACAATCCTAGAAGGGACAGTAGCTACAATCCTAGAATGACTTAAATGAACAGTAGCTACAATCCTAGAATGACTTAAAGGGACAATAGCTACAATGCTAGAATGACTTAAAGAGACAGTAGCTACAATCCTAGAAGGGACAGTAGCTGCAATCCTAGAATGACTTAAAGGGACAATAGCTACAATGCTAGAATGACTTAAAGAGACAGTAGCTACAATCCTAGAAGGGACAGTAGCTGCAATCCTAGAATGACTTAAAGAGACAGTAGCTATGGTCCTATAATGAATTAAAGGGACAGTAGCTGCAATTATCCTAGAATGACTTAAAGGGACAGTAGCTGCAATTATCCTAGAATGACTTAAAGGGACAGTAGCTGCAATTATCCTAGAATGACTTAAAGGGACAGTAGCTACAATCCTAGAATGACTTAAAGGAACAGTAGCTGCAATTATCCTAGAATGACTTAAAGGGACAGTAGCTACAATCCTAGAATGACTTAAAGGGACAGTAGCTACAATCCTAGAATGACTTAAAGGGACAGTAGCTACAATCCTAGAATGACTTAAAGGGACAGTTATTATTATTTAAACCTGCTCACATTTTACTGTGATAATGATATTGCACTGTGGAGACAACATAAATATACCTTTTTTCTGATATCATCCCTGACTATTTCTCTACCAGCTTCAAATTTGTCATGTTTAGCTTTTCTTTCTTCTTCTGCCTCTCTCCTTGCCTCAGCAATGGCAAGCTCTTCCTCTGTCGCCTCTGCACTCTCTCCTTCTCCTTCTCCACCACCAGCTACTTTGCTAATCTCACCTACAATTATAAAAACAAATCAATACATTATTAACTTGTTTAAGAGTAAATATTGGTAATACATTGTGTGATAAAAACCTATACCTTAATTTAATGTATTTATAAGTATTATGAGGATACTGCAAAGTTTGCATAAAGGCAGTAATTGTAAATACTAGCAGCTCACTATTATATTCAATTTCAAAATTATAATCAGTTGTACATGTACAAACCCAAATCTTGCTAAACATAATAGAGATATTAATTAAGATGTGCATACAAGAACAGAACAAGAGAGGATACGTCATTACTTTGTGCACGACCTCCATGTGAACCAATGACATCATCAGTTGCCAGGTTGTACGGCAGTCAATTTGAACATGATCAAGGTGAGTAACTCGTAATTGTTTTCTCGCTGTCAATTTTGAATCTGTTTTTACTGATATTTATTGAACACTTTATATTAAAAGTGATTTTTATGGTGAAATAAAAAATATGGGATGCATTTTTGCTGATATTCACACCTACTAAAAACGTACACAACTGGTCAGCTAGTTATGTGAACAAAGCAGATGATGGCAGATATTTATGATCACTTTCTCAAAAGGCGTGTACTAACTAGTTTGAACTTAATCGTTTTCTGACACCCAAGAATGTAACACAAACAAAATTAGAACACATTACGTTCCCGCTACATATGCAAATTTTAAACTCCCTATTATTCATTTCCTAAAATTGTGACTTTATCAACTATCAACATACTGAGTTAGTTTTTCTCCAGCATTTTACTTTATCTTTTCTTATTATGAACTGTTATTAATTGCACCACAGCAAAAAATGAATTACAGTGGAATAAATAAATATTGTATTACATTGATTTAACATTGACAACAGCTGTAGAATATGAAGTCAGTTACTTTCAGAGTACACATATATCTGATATTTTACGAGTGAACGTAAACCAAAATTAGCATTTCACATATAATAAACCCTTTTGACACACCTCTGTTGTTTACATATACACATATGCTACTAATAGAGAAAATATGATATACACGATTCAGTGCTACTAATAGAGAAATTATGATATTCACGATTCAGTGCTATAAGCATATTGTATATTAAACAAGTTGATGCTAAGCATCGCAGAAAGAAAAATATCTGACATGACAAAACTGTATCGCACCCATTATTCTCGTTAGTAGAATTGATTAGATGGGAAGCTTTCGGCTTTTTTTTTTTGCTCGACTATTTTTCCAATCTTTGCAGAATAAATTGCTTGATATGCATTATCTAATTTGTACATCAATGTCCCTTGTTTCAAGGAATATGCCAAAGGAGATGATATCACAGGAAGGAGGGTCATCGATCACAGTATAACATCACCTTGTTACCATGGCAAACACTTAATTGGTATAGTTGAATAAGATATGACAGGAGACAATAGTCTGAATATCATAGTGGCAAGTTTTCATTCAGAGAATATCATATAAAGAATATATTATATAGTAAATGACTGGATATAATTAGCATGATTGTGGTTTTAAATGATTTTATAAAAGGGAATTGAACGCATCAGTTGTCACACAGCATGTGGTGACATTTTATGTAAATGAGCAATGTATTGTACATATGGCATAATGGGGCAGGCTATTCACTAGTAAAGAGACTATTCTTGGGGGTTGGCTCAGATTCACTAGTAAAGAGACTATTCTTGGTGGTTGGCTCAGATTCACTAGTAAAGAGACTATTCTTGGTGGTTGGCTCAGATTCACCAGTAAAGGGACTATTCTTGGTGGTTGGCTCAGATTCACCAGTACAAGGACTATTCTTGGTGGTTGGCTCAGATTCACCAGTAAAGTGACTATTCTTGGTGGTTGGCTCAGATTCACCAGTACAGGGACTATTCTTGGTGGTTGGCTGAGATTCACCAG